TAAAAAATTCACCTTCCAGAAAGACGAACCACGTCCATTGATTGTTCCCGAACCAATGATCGTTAAACCGGTTATTTCCTTAAAATGAATCCATCTAAGAGACTTATAGTTTGACCATGCATCTTTGTTGATAGGGGCGACAATCTCTCCGTTAATCTGCAATATTGATCACACATAGACATTCCATATCCATACATAAATTTTGTTTTTTTTCTTCAACGCGCAAGTTTGTAAATTGATCTAGAAAACATCAATCTTTTAATCTTACCCTTACTAGTACGAAAGGAGATTTACAAGGGCCTTGGAACACTAGAGGTTGCAATAAAAATGTACTGTTTGAAGGAATAAGGAGTGTTTTTGGAGTCCCGTCACAACCGCACATAGCTTTCCATGCTTCCATAAAAGCCTTTWTTAAAAAAAAAAAAAATTTTAAAAGATTTAGCAGATAAATAACTACGGTTTGGTAATTATGATTTACTAGTACAAAAGTAACGATATTTATATCCTAAGTGTTGGCTAGGATATAAAAAATGTTTTGTTCGATTGTAAGACCTTTAATATATAAAGAAATAGTAAAAAAGTTTGGAAGCAATCATGATGAGAAACTTCATCACATCTTATATGCTTTAAAAAATGGTAAGGACATGACCATGGCCGATCCGGAGCATAGTCAAGCGAAGACTAGTCTATAAACATTGGACCGCCTATGGACAAGAGTCACAAGACTAGTCATAACTTCTTCTTTTTTTTTTTGAAATTTACTAGTCATAACTTTCAAGACTATATACCTTTCAAACTGTTTGAGGCAGCTCTAAGTGAAGATACAAAAATCTCAGTGTCCTAACTTTTGTTTTTGAAAAAAACATGATATGAAATTTTATAACTTCTTATATTCTTTTGATAAACTTAAACAAAATTGTGAAGATACTGAACTCGTGTCACTCAACAAGTTTCATCAACAAAAAACAAGATACATTTTTAGAATATAATACCTCCGAATCATCGGTAATACCATCTCCCTTAGCACCAAATTCTAGCACATCATAGATTTGGCCGTTAACAAGACCTATGTAGAGTAAAATTAACAAGAGCACAGCCCGTAGTATAATTTCCTACAATATCCAAAGCAATGTTAGACGAAAATAAAACACTTCAAGTTCTAGAGACACTTCATATGATTTCATATGTACCATTATTGTGTGATGATGATAAGATGATTGATAAAAAAAAGGTATTTTGTATATGTATGCGTATTTTTATATACCCTTACAAATCATGGATAGGTTTTTAAACTTGACATATTTTATACCTAAAATCATTAATCAACTATTTTTATGGATATTTGTTGTGCATAGAAGTGATAGTATCTATCTTATTATAATAGATTTAGAAATAAATCACAACATGAAT